TAGAAGTGGGGTGACAATTAGCAAGGTGTGTAGGTGCAACCAGTAAATGGGCTAGAGTTGGGCCTAGGCCAAATTTTATATATTGGACTTCTTTTGCTCCATATTTTCCAAGGAATTGATTTAGCTAGGCCTCACCATCATTTTGTGAACCTAACTAAACCAATTCAAATTATTTGGATTGGATCAAATGTGGAGTTTGGAGCCTTGGCCGCCCACCCCTCTCTTGGCCGAATTTACTAGCTTCCTTTGCACCTTTGGGAAGTTTGTGCTACAAGCTTCTAACTTAACTTGTTTTCCAAGCTTCTAAGTTAGAAGCTTGCACTACAAGCCTCCCAAACCATGGTGGACGGTCAAGCTAAACTAACCTTGGTTCTCTTGAACCATGGTTAGCCTAGCTTGCTCCACAAGCTAGCCTTTGGCCAGACTTATTAGTTTACCTTGCATACTTGGGAAGCTTGTGCTACAAGCTTCTAACCTAGCTTGCTTTCCAAGCTTCTAAGTTACAAGCTTGCTCCACAAGCCTCCCAAACCATGGTGGATGGTCAAGTTAAGCCAACCATGGTTCTCTTGAACCATGGTTAGCTTAGCTTGCTCCACAAGCCTCCCCTCTCTATATAAGCCTTTCCCTAACCTTTGTAATCACTTTTGGAGTTAATGAAATCAGAATTTTCTCAAATTCTCTCTTCCAAGAGTCCTCAAAACCGTGGAGAATAATCTTTTCCTTAAGAACTTCCACAAAGGAATTCCTCCTTTGTGCTTGGTTCATCAAGCTTCTTCCTCTTCAAGGAAGAACTGAACCTCCTTGTTGCTTTCATCAAGCATTGAAGGCTTGTCTTTTCTTCCACCATTGTTGAGTTGAAGAACGTCAAGAAAAGAAGAGGACATTGAAGGTGGAGCTTGAAGAGGAACATCAACCACTTCTTCACGTGCTTCCATCATTTTTGGTATCTAGAGCCTTGGTGCTCTTAAGGTTATGTGTTCTTGTCTCTTTTAATTGCTTCGGTCATGTCTTAATTCCTTTACATGCCTTGTTTGGTTTGCTGAATGGATCTAGTTTTTGTACACATTTTGCTGGATCCATATGTCTCATTAGTTATTTGGTTCATGATGTTGCTTGTTTCGAAATCTCTTGAACCAAATCCGTGTGCGCCTAGGTTCTTGTGCTTGTGCATTTTGATTTTACTTGAGTTTTTCCTATTCCTAATTGAATACGTGTATGAACAATGATGTGTAGCATGTGCTTTTGATTTTGAATCATGAGTTTTGTCTAGAAGTCATGTTTAGTCCTTTACATGTCATTAAATCCTAGTCTAACTTGTTGAAACTATTTTTGTTTTCTTGTTTTGGTTGATTCGGATTGTGTAAACCATATACTCTTTGTGGCTGACTATATGTGCTTTTGTGTTACATATTTGAGTTCATATTTGCTATTAGTTCTAGCAAATTCTTAGAGTTAGGTTTCCACGATGTCTTCTAAAAAAGTTTGTCAAAAATTTGTCTAAAACAATATTTGCTTCCTAGGATTTCTTGTGTCTTGTGTTGTGGCTGAAACTTATACATCTTCTAAGTCTTTTAAAAAAGAGAAAAATAGAGGTATAAAGTGTCTCAAAGTGTAAGAAAAACAAAAGAGAAGTGTGCTTAAGAATTACTAAAGTTTGTGCAAAATTTGTGAGCACTTATTTTACATTTACACTTGTATACCTCTTGTTGTGGTGCAAAACGTTTGGTAGCCTTTTATTCACAATAAATCTTAGATGCATATGTTGTAAAAGACATTAAAACTCCTGTGTTCTAAAAGAAAAATAAGTGAAAAGAAGTTACAAAATAAAAGCAAAATAAAACACAAAAGCAAAAGCTAAAAGGAGTTGAAAGTTTGTGAAATTGCTCTCGATTTTAGTGTGTTGCCTTGCATAATTTTCTGTCCAGCCATAAAGATTGTGTAATTGCAATTTGTTTTTGTTTTCTAATCTTAGATTTTGTTTTTGTAATCCAATCTAGAACCATTGGTAGGAGATTCCTTTGAGTGCTTGCTTCGTTTTGTGCCTTAATTTTAGCTTGTCTCTCCTTGGAATTCTTTCTTGTTTGTCACATCTAACTCTACCACTTTTTGTAGCTTTCCTTAATTGTTCTTTTTCAGTTTTTACTAAACTATTCTAGAAAATATAAGGTGTGTTGAGTGTTTCTTTTGAAGATATGGAAGGACAAGTACAAGGGTAGCATCTTGGAATGTTTGTGGAGGCCTAGGAGATTGTTCTTCTCCTTGGTGGAAAGCCTTTGGTGGAGATCAAACACCTAGAAGCAATCATCATCAAGATTGCTTCTAAAAGAGGAGAGAAACACGTGTGAGGTTACTGCAAAGGAGTGAAGGCTAAACAAGAATTGAAGGAACAAAGAATTTTGGAAGAAAATTTTTGTAAAAAGGAAACTAGTGACCAAATTTAGAGATGGAAATTTTGTTGTCTTCAAAATTTGTCTCTAAATTTTGTCACTATTTGTGGCTGAATTTTTTTTTCTAAGTGTGGTGCAACCATTCTATTTCATTTCTTGTGAATTTACATTCCAATTTGTACAAGGTCTTTAGGAGTGTCTTGGAAATACCTTTGGTGCATTTCCATCTCTCCTTAGTGTTTTCATAGGGTAATTTCGTTTAGCATTCTTGGTGAGAGTGGTCCTTGGAAGCCATTGGTGCTTTACAAGCTCTCACATAGGTTTATAGTTCTTCACGTCTAGTTTATGTTTTCAGCCATTTAGGTTTTCAAGTCATTTAAGTTTTCAAGCCATTTATGTTTTAAGCAATTGATGTTTTCATGCAATTTATGTTTTCAAGCATTTATGTTTTAAGTTGCATTGAATAATTGTACACATAGGCACTTGCTTGTTATTTTTCTTTTTGAAAAGTACTTTGTGAAAACCTTTTGTGCAAGACAAGGTATAAGGGGGTTTATAAAATTTTACTTGAAGAGACTTGGTTATTAAGTGGCTCCTTGTAGCTCACATCCCTCCAAAGTTCAATTTGTATTCTTAGACCTCTAAGTGCCAACTCTAAGCACTTTCAAAATCTTATTTTCTTAAAAACTATTTTTGTGTGAAAAAGACTTGTTATTTAAAATGTCTCATCACTCTGACTATAGTGAAAGTGACAACTCTCCAAAAAGCATTTCTTACTTAGCAAAAGAGCTAAAGTCACTTAAGTTATGGAGAAAGCAAGAGGCCATCCAAAAAGAGAATGATAGAATTGAAAGGGAGACCCATCTTGCTCTTCTTGAAGAAGAGATGAGACTTCTTAAACAAGAAGAAGAAAAGTTGAAAGAGGAAATGAGAAGAAAAAAAAGGAGTAGGAGTTCACATTCACAGTATTCTTTTCTCAATGCAAGCCTTATAGTGTGTTTGGATGGGAAATTTAAATGGAGTAATTCATTTATTTGAAGAATTTCAAATTTTTTAAGATGAAATACCTTGTTTGGATGGAAAATTTATAAGGAATTTGAAATTCAAGCATTTGTGAAATTCGTTGAAATAGTACAATTTCAAATTCTCCTAATAAAAATAAGAATTTGAAATTCCTGATATTTTTTTTTTCTTATTTTACTTATATATTTTATCTTATCTCTTCATATTTTTAATTATTAAATATTCCAAAATATTTTTAAAATTATTAAATATTATCTAATATATAATTTTTAAAATTATTAAATATTTAAAAGTTAGCTAATATTTATTTTTATAAAATTTAATTTAAAAATCTCAACATATAAATATATTTTTAAAATCAATTTTACCATGGTGGAATCAAATTATGATATCCAACCCAACAATTTAAAATTTGAGAAATTTGAATTGATTTATCAAAACAAAATATTTTAAGAATGATAGAAATTGAAATCAAAGTAATTCAAATACCAAGAATTTAAAATTCCTCATCCAAACACTTGGTTAGGGAGTTACTACTGTCTCCGTAAAAATCAAAAAGTTTTATACATTAAATTATGTGAACAAATAAGTTTAAAAAATAAATTCTAAATAACAGAAATTTTAAATTAAAAATTAATAGAACATGAATAAATCAAAAAGACTAATTCATAAAAAATAATCAAAAGACCAATTTTTATAACAAATTTTGTTTATATGTGATAGAATTACAAAAATTAAGAATAAAAGATTGTAATAATACTATAAAAACATTAAAATAAAATAAAAAAGAACAAATAATATAGCTGGAAAACTAATTTATACTATAAATTCAAAAAAAAAAATTAAAACCAAAGAAAAATTTAAAAGTATTAACAAAATATTAATATTAAACTATTTAGTTATAATAGATGCTACAATAAGATAAAATATTAAAAAAATATATAAAAATATAGAAATTTTTATAAATATAAATTATTAAAAACAGTAAATTAAGATAAAAACAAAAGCAAATAACTAAAAACATTAAAAAATAAAAATAATAAAAATAATATTAAAAAAAAACTTTGAACTGTTTCGGTACCCTCAATTATAGTGGGTACCATATCTTTATTGTTATCACTAAATTTTGTGTTATCCTGTGTGCTACACGGTTATGGATACTAGTTTGTGAACAAAGAATAAGGACTTTCTATTAAATCATGAGAGTTGATTGGGATCAAAGCACATTTTTTGTGCAGGTTTCCGGAAATTAAATACTTAAAATTTTATTCTGAAAACCAAAATTTTGGGGAAGAGAATTCTAAAGTTAATATTTAAAACTTGAAAAATTAAAGTTTCCAAAGAAGAAAAAAAGAAAGAAATGCGGTATAAAAAGGGTGCAAAAAGCAATCCCCACATGACAAAGTTGTAGGCCCAAATGTGTTAAGAAAGCCCAAAGGTAGAAGAGGAGTAAATAATTTAGTTGGGGAGTCCAAAGTGGAAACCTGGGATTGAAATTGAAAGTAAGTGACGTTGACGTTCCGGCATTGACGCACACCCTTAGGTTTGGCGCGAAATTCTGAGAGTTCAAAAATGGGTCGAAGTGGAAGCGGGTGAGCAGCATTTGTGTGCGCAAGCGACCCAAAGTCCGTAACCCGGTGGCCTCGTGGTGATTGTGACATAACAGCCGCGGAATCCGTCCCCCGGAATCCGCCATGGAAGATGCATAGAATAATATCGACGCCGGCGTCGAAGTTCCGCCAGTTCCGGCGAATAAGGTCGAGAGCGAAGAGCGCGACAGCAGAGACAGCGACAGAGGAGGAACACGCGTTCCAGATCCTATGGCGGTACCAGATCCTGGACCCCGACAGCGACATCGTTGCGTATTGGAACAGGGTGTTCCTCGTGACGAGCCTTCTCGCCCTCTTCGTCGACCCTCTCTACTTCTTCCTCCCCACCGTCGGCGGCCCCGCCTGCCTCCACGCCGACCCCGGCCTCCGCATCGTCGTCACCATCCTCCGCACCTTCGCCGACCTCTTCTACGTCCTCCACATGATCATGAAGTTCCGCACCGCCTTCGTCGCCCCCAATTCTAGAATCTTCGGCCGCGGCGAGCTCGTCACCGACGCCCGCGAAATCGCCATGCGCTACCTCAAGTCTGATTTCGTCATCGACCTCGCTGCCACCATCCCTCTCCCTCAGGCAATAACCCTCCTTCACCCTTTCCTCGTATTTATTTGCATGCAAATCATTTGACTCTCTTTTCCCTCCCAGATTGTCATTTGGCTTGTCATTCCCGCTAGCAGAAACGCCAGAACTGACCACGCCAACAACACTCTCGCCCTTTTCGTTCTTATTCAGTATGTTCCTAGGTTGTTTCTTATCTTTCCTTTGAACCGGCGCATTCAGAAAACCACCGGTGTTATCGCCAAGACTCCCTGGATTGGTGCCGCCTACAATCTTGTTCTCTACCTTCTCGCTAGCCACGTAAGATACATTTTCCTGTTCCTTCTACTCGCTAGCTCCATTTTTTCTAACTTGTATTCTCTTCGTTCGTTGGAGCAGGTTACAGGCGCAACTTGGTATCTCTCCTCGATTGGGAGACAATTTAACTGCTGGAAAACACAGTGCCAACAGGAGAACAGATCGCATACCCTCTCTTGCTTTTCTAGCTATCTTGATTGCAATAGCGTGGACCTCCCTGATCGGCAATACTGGCTGAACATCACGCGTGTAATTAGCAGATGTGACGCAAAGACCAAGATTAACGTCAAGTATAAGTTTGGGATGTTCGCTGAGGCTTTTCTCAATGATGTTGTCAGTTCCAGTTTTAAGGAAAGATATTTCTATTGCTTTTGGTGGGGTTTGAGAAATCTAAGGTATATATGTCTGTCATCTTCATTGCCAACGTTATATAAATATATATACTTTCATCTGTCTTCTTCCTACCTTTCAGAAGATGTATCATATCATCATTGTGACAGTTGTTGAATTTCATGGTGTGGATCATGAAAACAGTAGAGATAATTATTTACGCTACACCTTATTACTGCTTACAACATGCTCATTGACATCACGCGTTAATTTCCTTTCGCAGCTCGTACGGACAGAATTTGGATACCACCACGTATCTTCCGGAGACGTTCTTTTGCATCATCTTGTGCATTGCTGGATTGGTTCTCTTTTCACTTTTGATTGGAAACATGCAGGTAAGACTGGGAGAAAAAATTACGTTGGTTTATCAAATCAATTCTCTAGAATGATTCGTTGCAGTAATACAAATACTAATTTTGGTTAATGAGTGTTTTGTTGTTCACCTTGTCGAAGACGTACTTGCAATCGATGACAGTTAGGCTCGAAGAATGGAGGATTCGGAAAAGAGATACCGAGGAGTGGATGAGGCATCGCCAGTTACCGCCAGATTTGCAGGAACGTGTCCGTCGTTTTGTTCAATATAAATGGCTTGCAACAAGGGGAGTTAACGAAGAAGCCATACTCAAAGCGTTACCTTTGGATCTTCGTCGAGAAATTCAACATCACTTGTGTCTTTCTCTTGTGCGGCGTGTATGTCTCTCTCCCTTTCCCTCGAGTCTGCTGCATTTTTATATAGCAATGCAAATTACTTCATATCATTGTATTTAGGCATAATTGCATTTTTTTCTCGCCCATATTTCACAATAATTTAATATTTGATTTTATTAATTGATATCACACATTATTACTGATAATGAATTATTAAGATAATATATGGATGACGATATGATACTTATTGATGATTAATTCTTAAAATTGTATGGAAAAATCAACAAAATGGTGAAACATGGTGACAAAAGTTGCACCTAATTGCACTTCCTGCATATTAGAAGACTAATGATACAACTCTTAATTTGTATAGGTCCCATTCTTCTCGCAAATGGACGATCAACTCCTTGATGCAATTTGTGAACGGCTTGCGTCATCATTAAGCACGGAAGGCACGTACATATTTCGAGAGGGTGATCCAGTGGATGAAATGTTGTTCATCATTAGAGGGCAATTGGAGAGTTCCACAACGAATGGAGGAAGGTCTGGATTCTTCAATTGCATCACACTCCGGCCTGGTGACTTTTGTGGAGAGGAATTGCTGACATGGGCCTTAATGCCAAACTCAACCCTCAACCTACCTTCTTCTACGCGCACTGTCAAAGCTCTTTCTGAAGTTGAAGCTTTTGCACTACAGGCAGAGGATCTCAAGTTTGTGGCAAGTCAGTTCAAGCGCCTTCACAGCAAGAAACTTCAGCATGCGTTTAGGTACTATTCCCATCAATGGAGGACATGGGGTGCTTGCTTCATACAAGCAGCTTGGAGAAGGCTTCAGAAAAGAAAGGCAACGAGGGAGTTATCCCTCAAAGAGCGTCTCTACTACATGGGGCTGCCTGAGGCTGAAATGGATGGAAGTGGAAATTTTGAGGATGAGATCGAGGAGTCCTCTGGGAATGTGAAAAGGGTTCAGAATCTAGGCGCAACAGTTTTGGCCTCAAAGTTTGCTGCCAATACAAGGAAAGGGAACCACCATAAGCTACAAGGCAGTGATCCTGTGCCCCAATTGTTCAAGCCAGATGAACCTGATTTTTCTGCAGTTTAGTGAGCACAAAAACCAATCATCAGCCCAAATCTGAGTTTAACTCTGGTTCAATTGGAAGGTTTATGACTTGGATGTAAATGGTACAGATAGATTAGTAAAGGTGATCACTTTTGTTAAAGAGTTGTTATCATCGTGAGTAATCATATATTATCTTCTCCCATTAATCTTCTTGCAAATCTTCATATTATTTTATAAAAAATATGAAATCAAAATAAAATATTTAATATTTTAAAAATATAAAATGTATTTAATATTTGTAAGACTTAAATATAAAAATATAAAATGTATTTAATATATATTATTGTAAGACATGAATATATTTTTAATTCTTGCAAAAAAATAAGCAAATTTTGATTTTTATCCCTTCAAATTATTTTATTTATTTTTATCCCTTAGAATTATTATTTTCGATATTTGTTATTGTATAATTATTTTTAAATAATAATTATTTACTAAAAGACAAAATAATCATCTCAAGTGTTACCTATAATCATTAATAATATATATGAATGTGTGATATTTTTAAATTTTTTATAATTTCTTAATATGTTATTTGTTTACGTTACTTCCTCTTTAAAGATCCAAAAATAGTGATTTTAGAGTTTAGAGGAATAAAAGTCAAAAGAAAAATATTTTATGGTGACCAAAAATTAAAATTTACTCACTTTATATGGACTAAAAAAAATTATAAGGAACAAAAATAATGTTTACAAATTTTGAAAGAATAAAAAATATTTTTTTTCAATGATCAAAATCAAAACTCATTTATTTTATAGAATTAAAATCATAGATAATCTTACTTATAATATAGTAAAAGGATGTTAAAGGAGAAATTTTTACTCAAATATTACTATTTTAAAAAATATTTACCTAAATAGCAACTGTGCAAATTTATTTTTCAAATTAGCACTGTTTACTGTTCACATTCCAGAACGGGTCGTTTTGATTCCAGAACGGGCCGTTCCGGATTCAAAAAATGCACATAAAAAGTGGAACCAGAACAGGCCGTTCTGAATCTGGAACGAGCCGTTCTGGCCTACAAATTCAGGTTTTTTTTTCGATTTTCACTTATCAAATACCAAAACTCAGAGACTACCATCAAGTGATTAAATTTATTGAATATTAAAATTGTAAATATAAATAAATAAATTTATTAAAATTCAATACAACAATAAAGATCAATGGTGGTAGAAACTGATTATGTTGTTATGTAATGTCCATATCTGTTTTAATCCTGTTGGACTTTAGCCACCCTTGAAAGTTCTCTTGAATTCTGGATTTGGCCACAAAGTTGGACCAGTGTAAGTAGGCCAATAATCTTCATGTCGGAGCTCTCCAAACTGTCCTTCGTGTACTTTTGCAACTTATTATAAGGTATATATGAGAGATATGTAAGTTTGATAGTCGTGATGTACATGTAAGCATGAAGCGAGTACATGCGAGCAAGGGATATGAACTTTTTGGAACTTGCCGCAATCACACCACATTACATTTAGCCTTACTGTAAATCTCCTAGCGAGTCATGCGAGCAAGGGATATGAACTTTCTGAAACTTGTTGCAATCATACCACATTTCATTTAGCCTTATTGTAAATTTCTCAGCGGGTCAAACTTCTCTCGGATGTTGCGTTTCTTCCAACTTTGTGGCCAAATCTAGAATGCAAAAGAACTTTCAAGGGTCGGCCAAAGTCCAGTAGGATTAGAACATAGATGGACATTAGAGAACAACATAATCGTGTAAAAAAAAATTCTATTGTCACACTCCTGGTCACGCCTTATTATATATCTCCTAGCAGATCATGCGAGCAAGGGATATGAACTTTCTGAAACTTGCTGCAATCATGCCACATTTCATTTAGCCTTATTGTAAATTTCTCAACGGGTTAAACTTCTCTCGGATGTTGCATTGCTTCCAACTTTGTGGCCAAATCTAGAATGCAAAAGAACTTTCAAGGGTCGGCCAGAGTCTAGCAGGATTAGTGTTTGAAAAGAATGGCTCAATCCAAGAGGGGGGTGAATTGTCTTGTGCATGTAGGTGATGATTCATATCATATGGTTCCTCGTGATTTGAGGATAAATCATTTTCAAGAGGGAGGGGATGATGGAATCATGCCTAGGAAGGCAAGGGGTGACAACTTGAAGGATCCTAGAGGAATGGGCTAGACAGGAAGGTTTGGGCCAGTCAAGGCCAATGGGCCCGATGGGCTTTGAAGGCCCAAGTTGAGCTTCACATGAGCCATATCTTGTTATATCCATTTTCTTATGTTTTGTATATATCATGTTAGTATAGATTACATATATTTTGGTCTTGTATTTTGGACTACATAGTTTAGGATTTTCGGCTTTTGATACCCAATATTGGGCTCATTTTCATTCTTGTAATTTTTCTTTTCCATTGTATTTGATTGACCATTGTATTTAGGTCAATAGCATAGGAATATTGGAGGATTACTTAACTATGGTAATTAGGCTAAACTAGGTTTAATTAATTTGGAATGCATTTAAGTTGCATTTGAGTCACATGGATGGTGCCACTTGTGGCTGAACATGTGTGACTTCAAATCAACCCTAAATGCTTCTTAAATTAAATGTAGATGCATGTTAGCACCTAGGTTCATGGCAAGGCACATGGGAGTGGAGATTTGAATTCAAATTTTGAATTTGAATTCAAATCTAGGCGTCAAATGTGATGCTTGACCTAGGCGCCAATTTGCTTGCTATCCGAGCCTATATATACTTGATTAATAGTTTAATTTTCTTTGCTAGGCTAGATAGAAGGATTCCTCTTAGGATCCACAATCCATTTTCTTCAATTGAACATTTCACCTCTTAAACGTGGTATCTTGTGCATGTAGGTGATGATTCATATCATATGGTTCCTCGTGATTTGAGGATAAATCATTTTCAAGAGGGAGGGGATGATGGAATCATGCCTAGGAAGGCAAGGGGTGACAACTTGAAGGATCCTAGAGGAATGGGCTAGACAGGAAGGTTTGGGCCAGTCAAGGCCAATGGGCCCGATGGGCTTTGAAGGCCCAAGTTGAGCTTCACATGAGCCATATCTTGTTATATCCATTTTCTTATGTTTTGTATATATCATGTTAGTATAGATTACAACTCAAAATCAATGCCACAAGATCAACTTAATTATCACTATAGGCATTGTTCCAATTAATCAAAAGTAATATCAAAATTTGTATCAGGGAATTTTTTATTTCATATTCACACAATTTGTATTTCAAACATAATATCTCAACCACATGATACATCAGCTACAATAAGCATCACTCCAAATATAAAAAATATGCACTACTACTTGCACACATCAATGTACAAACCAAAATATAGCAGTAAAACAACCAAATCAATGTTTCCATCAGCAAATCATCCCAAACACAATATAATCACAATAACATTCATATTGCATCAGAATTTAAATTGTTTGAAACATGATGATGGAGGACCATCCTTGAAGACACATGTGGGCC